CCTGGGTATTCGCTTCCAAGGAATTCGAAAAATGTTTCTGGTAAGTATCTTCGAGAACTGTTAATGCTTCATTGAACCTCCGCAACTGTTCAACAACTTCTGGTGGTATCGAATCGCTCATCATTGGTCTTAAAACAACAAAATAATTTCCGCAATAACTGCCAAGAAACGATCATCCGGAAAACTATAAAACTGCAAGAGTTCTAAAGCTAAGTTTATGCCAACCGCATGCAAAACCAACCTAATTCACTCCCGAAACAACCAAACATCAAATCTTCGAAATACACATACAGACATTCCGCATCCTCAACTTCAAGATCAAACCGAAAACCGTCCATCACGGGGACAGCTATCCGCGAAATACCGGCACAATCGAGAAGCGAGACGTTGGTTGTACGTTATCGATGGTTCCGTTAGTTATCGGTATGTTGCTGATCTATTTCTTCATTTGTACTATGGGTCACGTAGTGAGGTGCACGTGCAGGTGCATGTTTCACGTGCAAAGTGCAATAAGCACGATGAAATTTTCCAAACGGGACTCATTTATTCTAACAAAACAAAATAGAATCAGGTGTTCTGTTTGCTTCTCTGGTTATAACTTTCTCTGGTTCGGTCTTCTCTGGTTATTTGCTTCTCTGGTTATATACTGTGTAACAGCGCAAATAGTAAGGTATTTTGACGTCAGTGCTACGTCTACAGATTGTTGAATGAATGTGAACGTAGAGGAATACCGATGGTGACACGATCATGTACTTTCAATCAGTTCGTTCGTTTATTAGGTTTTGTCAATGGTCTTAGAAAGTGGCTGATTTCAAATAATTTCTCAATTGCATTTGAAATGAAAACATTTTCTTAGTTCATGTATTATTTAAAAAGTAATTTGTGAGTGTTGGATGTATTCATTACTATGAAAGCGTTAGTTTTAATGCTATTCACGATCACGTTTGTTTTCTTTGTATTTTAGATATCTTCTATGTTGAACTCTTTTATAAAGTTAAGTTTCAGGCTAGTTGATGCATATCCTTGCGGATGTCGCAGTTTTATTGGCAATTACAAACCGATACACAGCAGCAAGAAAAGAACAATGCAAAGGATGGTAATGAATGGAAGTGTGTTGGCTTGACCAATGATAATACCTGCGAAGGTTTGCAGCACCAACAACAACAACAACAACAACAATCCTACTGGTGGTATCAGCAGAATGTTAGTCCATATTTATTTATTTAAAGGAATCTATATCAGTACTGTAATCGATGAATAGTTAGCAGTTTTTTTTAACGGCTAATTACTTCTGTGAGAGTCCGTTTAGGAGCTCTATATCCTTTCTATCGCCGTGTTACTTAGTTAAAAATTTTCTATATTTATTATGTATTGCTAGGGGAATTAAATATTTCTCAAAAATCTGTGGCACAATTTTTGAAGGCAATATTAATAATTATTGTCTTCAGTGTCCAAATTTGATTTTTATTAATCGATTAATCCATGTTAAGCAATCGTTATTAAATGGTTCAATCCAAATATGGGAGAAAGATTTTGCTTTGTAATTCCAAATCAGCTTTGGAATAAGGTGATGAATGCAAAATAAAAAAACGTGAAAAATGTGATTTACGATTATGTTCTTTTAGCAAACTGGAACGGACCCATATAGCGCGGCAGCATTTGAAGGTTTTCGGGCATCTTCCGGTAACGTCGCTCCTTTGAAGAATTGGCAGACATCGATAACGCCGAATATTCCTAGCACATTTTCCGCGCAGCAACAGCAGGAACGAATTCCTGAGGTTAGTATTTTGGATAATATGAGAATGGATTGTTTTAACAGAATTTGCATCCCACTCTTACGGATGGCTAGGTGTAGTTATAGAATGATAATTACAGAGTTATTTTATAAATATTGCGAGTGATATATTTGGACTGTGTGATTTCTCTTCGAAATTTTGTCTAAAATTTAGGAAAAAACGGTTTCGTATGAGGTTCATGAACAGGAAAATGAGCAAGTACAATATTCGTTTGGTGTTCATCAAACGATTTTGGATTCTGAACGTAGCTTTCCTGGTCATAATATAGAAGTATGTTATTCCTTCAGGGTTCCAGTTTGATAATAATGCGTTAATAGCTTGTTAAAATCGAAATATATGATTAGATGAAAACTGCGTCTTTAAAAAAATTCCTTTCTAGGATAGGAAAGTAAGTGGTGGAAAATATGATGTTCAGCACGTTCAGGTAGAATTGGTTTCTGCTGATGATGCGCAAGGTATAAATTTGACTTATCATATCCCTAGAGACTTAACTGTCGTCGGGAGATGATGATAAATGTCAAGTATGGGTAATTTATGGGTAATTCTAAAAATCGCGCGGACAGAAGTATTGTGTAAAGCAATAGCAGAGGGGGAGGGGGGATAACCAAGGCAATAGCAACAGCATCGTGGATTATTATTTCCAAAAAGTATATTTGCAGTATATTTATCACTTTGAACTTGCTAAATGTTAGTGAGGGAGAAGAATACATTTCGGTTAATAAATTTGATGGCCCTTATTTACTTCCTTATTGCAGATAACTGGCAGACTAGATTTGCAAAAAAGTTTTTTGTTGCGTTTTAATAAATTATTACATAAAATTTAAATCAATATGAAAAACAGTCATTGGATGAAGAGATAAATTTTTAGGTAATGTAGCAACAGGTGCACTGCTACCAGAAGAGGAACATGTGGTAAGTGCGATAAACAGTAAATGTTTTCTGCTTTCATAGAAACATTGGAAATTGGCTAGAAGCTTATTACAAGAACGAAATTAGGCAAAATGGATTACATTGACCGGACTATTTTCAGACTGAAAGCAACTTGCCAGTGGTGGCAGTGGCTCAGGTTACTCCTATGATAGCAACAGCCATTACTACCGCGACAGAGACATCATTTTCTGCTGGCGTTTTGTCCTGTAACCAAACATTCCCAGCAGCTGTCCCTTCTGCAAACGTCGCTCGTGTCGGTCCTATTTCTAATCATGATTCTTTAGGTATTGCCTTACTTTATTTCAGTTGCCTTCACTACCGTTATCACTCGAATTATTTATGGCACCTTCAATAGCCGATGACTTAATCGGCAATGATTTAGGATTTTGTGCTATGTGCTGATTTTTGGACGTCATTGCTCACGCATAGACTGTGTTAAGTGTGCCATCACCTCAGTAACTTTTCTATGAGTAATTTCCATCTTCAATTTTAAAATTATAATTTCAGGATTCTCAGTGAACCGTGTTGTTCCAACGTTACAGTCAGTCATTCCTAACCTACAGATGCCTCCACTCGAACCTGTTGCAATCAGTGCTCGTGATGCTCCAATATTGTTAACTGAGGAAACTGGTGAAGTACAAAATACTGCTGCTATCGAAGGAACACAGGCTGCTTCGAACTTCGTCTCTCTAGCAAATTCTCAGCAACCAGATGCTGGCGAGGTATCAGTCAAAGGACAAGATTTGGTACGGGAACTTTAAGGTTGCCAAACAAGAACAAAGAAAGTACAATAACAAAAAGTCTTCATTTTCCTGGAGCATCAGGAATAGTGTTCATTTCAGGATAGGAACAGTACTTCGAATCGGTTACGAGAAGTGCTTAATGAGGATGTCAATTCACTTTCAACTGATGACGTCCAAGAGGCACGAGGACAGAATGAACTGCGACAAATTTTGAAGAAGGTGGGTTCCTTTCTATAGTTCTAAATTCCAGAGCAAAAGATTATCTTTTTCCATTTAATTTGTGGTAAGCACGCTAAAAACTAGTGCTTTATTATTCTTTTATTATTTCTTTAACTTTAGTTTGATGGCAAATTAAGTGATAAACCAAAAAAGTAAGTTTATGTATATCATCGTAGGTTTCTTTGACAAACTAATGCACTTATATCGAATAATCTTGGTGAAAGTGGGGTTCACAATGAGAATTCGGACATCTTATACCTCCTAATATAGTGCCGAGTTATTGATTTTTAGTACAGATCTAACAGTTTTTTCTCCACTTGTTCATACTTTGTTTTCAGGATGATAAGGAGCGAGGCACTGCGATGTCGACATCAGCAGAACAATCCACGGATTCAACTATGGCTGAAGATTCTCTCAGCAGACCTAATGAAAAGCATATGGATTCGAAAAATATTAGAGACCGATATCGCATTATCCGCCAACAGTTTGTTTTTCTTTTTGTTCATCTTTCCTGGCTAGCATAGAAAATTTTCTTTTATTCAGATAAAGGAATTTTAGGTATTTTTTTGCTCGTTATTCACGTTATTATTCTTATCTGTTACTGCATTTTAAGATATCCGGAAGTAATCAAGCGACTGGATCGTTTGAGAATGGAAGCTCATAATTTGGACTGTCGCTCGATGCAGAAAGCTCCATTAGTAGAAGTCGACGAAAATTCTCATAGGTCGTAAGAAATATAGAGAATTTATTTTTTTTGAAGGATAATCTATTCTGTCAGTACTGCCAAGTCCATCTTGTGATGACCACCCGGTTAGTTATATATGTATATACATATGTGCATATGCATATATACATATGCATATACATATTCGCTCTATGATCACCACCGCGTTCACTTACCGAGGTTAGGTCTGTCAGAGATTGTATACAGTAATGAGCATACTGCTAGGTGTATTTTTGGAGATTTTTTTTAGGATATCAAACAGAAAACAAATAAATTCAGCAATGATAGGTCTCGATTCCAAAGTCACTGCGAACCTGAAGGATGTTGAACCGATGTTGGATTCTCGACCTTCTTCCAAAAGTAGTTACACTTTGCATGATTCTTGACCTGCTTATTGAGTATAGTGATCCAGTAACATTCTCTTCCCCATAATTTCATTGTTTTACAGTGAATCATTCATATACGTTCCCCGATCATAGGAGTTCTGAAGATAGCTCTACAAAAAATGATGTTAGTTACGGAGAAGACTTCGTCAATTCTCTTCGTCGGTAAATTTTTACACTTTTTTTTTTCCTAGTCATAAGTTCCTAAGCCTGATAGTATATTACAGTGAGACAGGAGCGTTATCATGTTACTCTTTTTGAAGAAATCGGCATGCACGTACTCGTGAACACGATTTTTTATCGCGCGGTACTAAATCAGAAATGGGCGAAATAGGACCATATAGAGGTCCTGCATTCGCTAAACATAGACATATGATGCAGCATGCATATGGCTATCATTCTTCAGCCGGTTATCAGTCATACGAGTAAGTTGTTGAATTTCCATTATTTAGTAAGAACAAAGCTTTGAACTTTACTGAAAACGTGAGAAATGTTCGTTCGTCTCAGTTAGATCGTGTGTTGAAAATACTGAATCGTATAATTCTGTATATGTGATAATACATTACAAAATACATAATGCCGTGTTAGGTATTACCCAAGTGGCAGACAGTCGTTGGGACCTCATCTTGGACGGCATGCAGCTCATGAATTAGCGATGATGCACAACGATGGTAACGTTCCTGCACGCCGACCTCAATCTTCGTTTGATGCGCCATATTCGAAGTACACTTTTCTTTCGTTTATTGTTGAATTTTTGATTCTGAGAGTTGACCACAATTCTTATTTTTAACTGTTTTTTTCTTTTCTTTTTTTTTTTTGTTTCTGCAATAGGCATTCAGTATGATCCATGATCCATTATATCATTACAGTTAACTTAATCAGAGTGGATACACTCTTATTATTGATTTTTGATTCTGAGAGGTGGCCACAATCCTTAATTTTAACTTTTTTCATTATTTTTGTTGTTTTCTTATTGATTTTTTTTACTATTAACCTATTATTAATTTTGAAATTTTCCCTTATTTTGTCTTGCGTTTTTACAAATTATTATTCCTATGGAAAAATTCTATGTCTTGATTGCTGGGACTTTAGTTCAGCTGCGCCGCGTATAACTTGAAAGAGATAGAATTACCAGATGTATCTTTCCATTTAATGTATTCCATTAATAGGGAATCTTCTAGTTCGCGAATTATTTTTCCTGAAATAGGCTTTTAGGATTCATGTATTGGAAAACAACCATAGTAGTTATGCATTACAACTTGCTTTCTAGTTAAAACATCCAAATTGAAAATCAGTTGCGTTTTTTTCAGTTTGCAATTGCTATAATTCTCAAGGTTTACTTATGCTTTTTTTTTCGCAGAATATATCGCTGTTCAAAATGAAATATTCATCACTGGTTTGTAGATATCAGCAGTTTAATGAATTCGCTCAGGACTTTCGCCGAAATGGTGGAGGGGAACATTCTTTCGAGAGTGGAGAAGAAAGTAGTGGAAGTGACAGTGAAATAGCACGAATTCATAATGGACAGAAAATGGTATAGTTTAAACATCAGCCGATTTTACATCCTTAATCACTTTTCAGTCCATTTAAATTGTTTTCATATTCATTATGATACATATAAAGTATTGACACCCATATGTGGTCTGTGTCTGTTATGAAAATATTCGAAGTCATCGCTGAAGAATTCTTACATATTTGTCATTCAGTATTGCAACGTGAATAGTTTTTAAATAAATTTTCTGCAGGCACAGCGAACTGCCACAACGCGTCATAATGCAATGCCTTTCACAGCCCCAAATGAGTTTTACTATTTTGGTGTGATACAGTTGCCACAGGTTAGGTTTGTGGTTTTTGTTAATTTAGTGAAATGAAAGACAAGAGAATTAGAAACTTTACCTGTAGTATGAAGTTATACTAGTGTGAAAAAATTGAGTTAAGGTAGCATTAGCAATCGTGTTATTTTCACATAGCGAGAGACACTGGATGCTAAAATACGTTTATTTAAGGAACGCGTGGAGTACATAATGCGCAGATTACCGCCGCCTCCAGAATACTTCCAACTGCCTGCAATCGAAAAGGCGGCTTACTTGTTTTATTGTGTTCTCTATCGTCATCATTATCTTCCGGTGGATCTGTTTCATAAAAAATTCAACCGAGAATATTTCAGCTACATGTGTGAGGGCGATTCAGCTGAAATTGCGCTTTGGAAGGTAAACTTGCTGTCCTAAAGGCTTTTATTGTTTTCCTTTAACTCTTCTCAATGATCTTTTTGACAGTGTTTTAGATTTGCAAACATACACAAGACGAATATATAGCTAAACGTTCGATAAATCAGTTGAAAGCCTATGAAATGTCCCAGAAACAGCTGTTCAGCGATGAACATGAAACACTTGATAGCAGGTTGCTTCATCGTATTTTTTTCTATCTCATTTGATATTCTATAGATCTTCGAGTAATTGCACAATTAACGACGGTGGTTGCTTCCTAGACATCATTTCCTATTTTTGCCAAATTGAGCATAAAAAAAATAACTTTTGTGCGGAACAAAATGCTCTGAAGTAAAAAGTTCGTAGTCCATACTTTACGCAGTTGGGAGAGTACTAGCGACATACATAAATCTGAGAAAATCTGCAAAATAGCTATCCTTTTACCAACGAAAAAGCTGTCTAACATTTGATTTGGTAAAGTTACGGGGTTGAATGAATGTTAGAATCATTTCATGCGTTATTTGCATTATTTTATCCTCCCACTTTAATTTTGCATACAATAAGCAATATGTGTGTGTGTGTGTGTGTGTGTGTTTGTGTGGCAAAAATGAAATAAATTTACGAAAACGTAAGTCAAATAACTCTTTCGTAGTTTTTTTTGGCTGTAAAATGCATTTTGCTCCATGTCCTTTCTTTTCTCATTCTAGTTGGTCTTCTTTTCTCTTTTTTTCTTATCCCATTCTAATTCATCTCGTTCTTC